AGATGGCTCGCATAAACCAACGCCTCGGCCCAAAAAGATCTAGATAATCCACTCTGTGTCATCATACATCGCACCTTCTCCAGCAAGGTACGGTTCAATCTCTCGACCATCCCGTTCTGTTGCGGTGTCTCTCTAACTGTGAAGTGTCTTCTAACGCCATGATCCCGGCAAAACTGTAGAAATGGATCACTCTTATACTCTCCCCCATTGTCTGAACGAAGAGTCTTCACCTTTCTACCTGTCTGCAGCTCCACTTTCTTCTTCCACTCCACAAATATATCCAGGACCTCATGTTTATGCTTCATGGTATATACCCAATTCCTCCTGGAATAATCATCAATGAAAGTGACGAAATAATTTGCCCCACCAAGCGATGTGTGGTTAGAAGGGCCCCAAACATCTGTGTGAATGTAGTCTAATATACCTTGGGTGTTGTGAATTGCGGTGCCAAACTTCACTTTAGTCTTCTTCCCAAGTATGCAATGCTCACACAGCTCCATCTTGCAGGTCTTTGCACCTTTCAATAGTCCCTATTTTGCCAATGACTGTAGGGACTTTTCACCTATGTGTCCAAGCCTCATGTGCCATAGTATGGTAGTGTCCTCTTCTGTGGTGATAGAAGCCGCCAGACCCCCTGTAACTGTCTTGCCCTTCAAGTAGTATAGGTTGTTTTCCCTGACACCTTGCATCACCACCATGGATCCCTTCATGACCTTCAAACTAGCATCCTCTAATATCACTCTATAACCGGATGGCTCCAAAGTCCCAAGAGAAATGAGGTTCTTTGTCAACTGCAGCACGAACCTCACTTCTTTCAATTTCCTAGTCACCCCGTCATGCATTCTGATTCTGACTGAGCCAATCCCACTAATAGGACAAACGTGATCGTTCCCCATGAGCACCACGTCTCCTCTCTTCAACTCCTCAAAGTTGGTAAACCAATCCCTCTTAGGGCAAATATGAAATGTAGCTCCCGAATCAAGCATCCACTCCGTAGAGTCGGCATAACAAACTGACGGCAATGCGGGACAAGAATAACCGGAAGAATCCGAATCTGAAATGTCGCCAACAACCTTAGCAACATTCACCTCTAAAGCTTGTACAGCTTTCCCCCTTTGCTTCCCGGCTCTATCCTTCAACTTTGGGCACTCATTCTTCCAATGTCCCTCTTCTTTGTAAAAGGCACATTGATTTCTACCAACACTTTTATGGACACCCCTATTCTTTGATTTTGAGCGGTTGAACTTTTGGCGGTTTGGACTACGGCCACGAACTGAAAGTGCATCACCCGATGCCTTCTAGGAGGGCTCACAATCATTCTTCCTCAGCTCATAATTCACCAATGCCGAGGTCACCTCTTTGTAGCTAACTGTAGTTTGCCCATTTATCATAGTGAGAACAAAAGTACTAAATTCATCATCCGGCAACGAACACAATAGTAACATCGCATTGTCTTTATCCTCCACCATGATATCAACATTGGCCATATCCGAAATTAGCTTTGTGAAGTTGTTAACATGCTCTCGAATGGAAACTCCTCTCTTCATCTTGAATTGGTAGAACCTTTTCTTCAAATGAAGCCTATTCTCAATGCTCTTCGTCAAATATTTTTCATTGAGCGTTTCCCACAATCTCTTTGCCGACGTCTCATTCATCACATCATAGATAAGATCCGGCGTTAAGCATGACCAAATAACCCCACAAGCCCTACTGTGTATTTTCTTCCAAACCCTATCATCAATCTCCTCGGGTTTCTCTTGAAACTCAAGAGTCTCTTCTAAATTTTGTGCATCTAAGGCGTCCATTACTTGACACCTCCATAAACCAAAGTTAATCTTGCCGTCGAACTTTGGGACATCAATTTTAGTGTTATTGATGCTCAAATTTTGGATCGCCTTTGTCAACGCCGACCCCGATGTACTAGTAGCACTTGAACTAGCCCTGCTTATTTCAACCATATTGTAGATCTACCCTTCAAACAAGAACCCAACAGTGAATCCTTCGAACAAAACTCCCAAATCCAACCCGGAGCTCTGATACCACTTGTTGTGCGCCGCAGAAGCCCGAATAGACAAATCAAAAGCACACACAAGAACAATAGTAGACCACAATGCACACAAGCCAACCAATCACAGCAAGTACACAAAATATACGTGGTTCGGCATTTATACAAATCCAAAACGAAGCGGGTCTGAAAACAGGCCCAACTCAAAACCGCAGCGTCGGTCGACCGGTACGGTCGACCGCGATCCATCGCGGTCGACCGGCCCGGTCGACCGCCCGCCATCCAGCATGAGGTCCAAAATTCCAGAGAGTTCGGCGGTCGACCGCGCCGGTCGACCGCCCACAGAACAGAAACTTCTGCGGTCGACCGGGTCGGTCGACCGCCACCAATTCTGACGCCCAGTAATAAATGTGCACGAAAGCGGTCGACCGCACCGGTCGACCGCCACCCTGTCAACCTGAATCCTGAGCCTGGAATCCAATTCTGCTGCCAATTCTACAACTCAATCTCTTAATCATGATAGATCTCCAACCCTATCTAATTCTCATGAAGTTATACAAAGAATCAAAGACACAATCCTAACAAATGCCACATCATTGCGCAAGATTTAATAAAAGTTTGTAAAATATGCTTTCGCTAATGATGGAGGTGAGGTTGAGGATCACCAATAAGGATAACCACTAATGACTTCTAAACACCAAGAACCCAAATGATATTTGGCTGATAGGAACTCCACTAAACTTTTCCCTGGCTAGTCTGATGTGCTTTGGTTCATGATGATTCATTGAAAGACCACCTTGCGAGATCAAAAGAGCTTATAATAGATATGCACAGCATGCCTCCTTGATTGAAACACACGAGAACATCAAAGCGTCTGTTTACAAAAGAACCTCTTTCTTCTCATAATGTACACACACCTCCTAAAGCCAACATCAAAGCGTCTGTCTACAAAAGAGCCTCTTTTCTTCTCATAATGTACACGCACCTCCTAAAGCCAGCCTACTTTAAAAGTGCTAGCAAGGGAATAGCAAATAGCCCTTTGTCCTGTTCCAATAGAGATAATCATTCAAATATAAAAGAGAACCCAACGGTATATTTTACTAAGGATCGCATGTCAATCTCTCTCTCTCTCTCTCTCTCTCTCTCTCTCTCTCTCTCTCATGACCAAAGCTTTTCACAAACAAGCCAAATTCCTTGGGCAAGGTGATAGGAACAGTGCATGCAATATGAACATAAGTATTGGTCTCATGCATTATTACTGGATCAATGCCTTTAAAGCAGGGAACAAATATATAAAAAACCATGCATATTGTTCGAGAAACGATGTCCAAAAGATGATTACGGATGAGCACCCCTAAGCGATATACTAATCACTTAAATGTCCAGAATTACATGTAAAGTAACAATGCTAAGATGATCTCTTCGGGAGATTAGTAAGGCAAGCTTAGAATAATTAGCCCAAACATACATGAATTCAAGCACCAATTTTGATGGAATTTCGAGCAACTCAATCTCTGGTTATAGTGTACGTTGACATCTCCTATAAACCTATAACTTTCAAATCTCATTAATGAGAGGTTGCAATAATTAACGGTCTTTCAGAAATATATAACTAAAAAAACATCTAATTAATGCATAAGATTAGCTATTTGAATGGACGATTCATTCCATTTGTGATGATCTGTATATGTTACATCTATAAGTTACAAATTTTGATATTGCATACTTCTAGTCCATGTGACAACCACTTGATGCTCAATAATTAGAAATAATATATCTACTATTTTGTTGTGTATAATTCAAAATCCTCTTTTACATAATAAAAAGAAATTGGCGAAATATCTCTAAAGGTATAAAAAAGTGCAATGTATACAAAAAAGTGATATTCCCTCTCAAAAATTATTTGACTACACATGAGCTAACAATATTAATTTTGAGGGTTTTCTACCAAAAATTATCGGGGTTTAATGATAGTTTCAGAGGTATTGGAGATTTAGTTCCGAACACCTAAACATATTAGGAGTTTAGTGAAATTTAATCATATTTTAATTTTGAGTTTTTTCATTATATACCCCCAAAATATTAGGTATTTTTTAAATTTATGTCCAAATCATGATTGTAAAGTTTTCTCCCAAATTGTGCTATTCCCTCAACCCTCAACTTAACTTCAGTATGAGAGAGAGAGAGAGAGAGAGAGAGAGAGAGAGAGAGAGAGAGAGAGAGAGAGAGAGAGAGAGATAGTGAAATTTAATCATATTTTAATTTTGAGTTTTTTCATTATATACCCCCAAAATATTAGGTATTTTTTAAATTTATGTCCAAATCATGATTGTAAAGTTTTCTCCCAAATTGTGCTATTCCCTCAACCCTCAACTTAACTTCAGTATGAGAGAGAGAGAGAGAGAGAGAGAGAGAGAGAGAGAGGCAGATTCACCTGTGCGAACACAAGCATAACACTTGTATGTATATGAAATGAAAAGGGAGGATCATACAAATTAATTCAATGCATATATATCATGCAGCTTAGAACATGGACATAAACAGACTAGTTATGCGTGTGTTTTTAGTGCATGCTTGTAACGTCACTATTGTACAGAGCTGTTGAACCTTGGGTTGTAGAAGACCACAATGCATTGAAACATTGCCTCAGATTATCATAGTTCAACTCATTTACGTCTCACCCTGCAGCTCATTTGTACTTATTTTCCATCATTATCGCCCACATCTATATGATTACCATTCAAATTATCAACAACACCGAGGCATATACAATCCCAAGGCCAAGCTAGCTAGCCTTCATCATTAGCACTATAACTATATATTAATCGAATTGTTTACTACTGCCAAAATCAAACAATATCAATCTAATTGTTTACTACTTCCAAAGAGCACATAATGAAGCACGAACAGCTTCTTAATTAGTTACCTATTAAAAACAACACTAGTACGTAGTCTAGCCACACACTGCGCCATTTATTCACCTATGAATAATTGGTTTAAGTTCTCAAAATTGGCAAATATATTTAATATATATATTTACATACACGATGAACCCTTACTATATCTTCTTCAACCAAGCGTAAGCCACCGACCTCAAGTCCTCCATGTCTGTAACTCGCCCATCGTGAGAAGCCATAGAACAGGAAGACCCCTCCTCGAGATCACCGTAACAACCGCTACTGATAAAATTCGGCTGATTGTTATTGTTTTCATTATAGCATGACCTAGATTCAAGATTCATCGAGGCGTTTATAGGAGCAGACGTAGAGCTATTTGCCGAATCTTTTGCAGTCTGGGCCTTGAGAGATGATAGTTGTGCTTGAAGCATGACAACCTGCAACATCAAAAGAAAAGAGGGGGAGAAGGGAAAAAAAAAAGAAACAATTGGATTAATTTCCAAGAGATAAATCACTGTCTCGGTGTAAGGTATTTATTTAAATAAATTAAGACTCCATTAATTTTCTCCTCTTTTGGAAGGTAAATATTTCTAAGAGCATATAGTATGAATCATACTAGCGTCAGAATTAAAACTGAGGTATTGTGTTAGTTCTTCCTTAATTTCTAAATCCGATGTATTCATATATGAAAGTGGCTCACAATAAGTTGTTCCAAAATTGACCATTTGTTTCTCTTAGAGGTGTTGAAAAAAATGCCCGCAATCGAGTAAATAGCTCTACCAAAAAAAATAATAATCAAATTGAATTGGAAAGTGGAAAGATTTGTACAAGTTAGGCATTTCATCACCACTTTAATTATAGAAAATAGTTAGGTGCATGAACAATATTATCAGATCTGAGGCAGATCAAGCAAGGTTCTATACATCTGTCCTTTCTTCACATATCTTTAGACAAAAACTCTGAATTTCTATAATGATAAATATTTCTGACTACAGTGCGAATCAAACTCATATTTAAATTGAAACTAAGATACCGATGCAAGTTCTTCCCTTTTGAGTCAGATATGGATTCATATCTAAAGAGGCTGATGATAATAAGTTGACAAATGAATCAAATTGAATCAGAAAATGGAAAGATTTTTATAAGTTATGCCACTCTATAGTAAGAAAATAGTAAGATATCGTTCATAATTCGAAAAGATCGATAGACACTAACTTGTTGTTGAAGGGCGAATATATGAGAAACACAGCCATATATAGGATCTTGAAGGCGAGCCTGAGCTTCATAAGAAATGCTGAGGGCGGCCTCAGATCGATCGGTAGCAGGCAGATGAGACAGAAGCTTGGATGCATTGCTTGCACCGAAGACTTTGTGTATGGCTGCGAAATGTGCAGCTCCTTGCTCATGACTGAAGTATGGAGCAAAAATACAACCCTGAACACATTTCCTCCTTAAAAACTTGCAAGCACCACAGGGAGAGCCAAACCCTGACATCTTGATTTTAGGGTTTGTGATCTTTTTTTAAGTTTTAGGTGAAGCTTAATTTGAGGGTTTGTGCCTTTGATTTGGTTATATAAGATATTAGGGATGGTGTTGTGATGAATAATTAATATAGGTTTGTCTCCTCAATGGCCAACATGATTACATTAGTTTTTTTTGGCTATGATATAGGTTAGACTAAGTAGCCTACTTACTAATTCATTTCCTACTTGTATGAACAGTAATTTTCAGTGTTGGTTTGGTTTACTGAATGTGAATTGAAGAGATGAAGTGTGATGTTGAAGAAAAAAGAAGGAAAAAAAGAAAATCAATCTCTCTTCATTTCTTTAAAAAAGGTCATATTGATAACCTTTTAAGGGTAAGTACATAGAGATTGTCATCAAATTAATTATACTAAAATATCATGTGTACCGCACAGTATCCGTCGGACAATTAAATATAGACTTGGTTCATGACATTTAATGTAAACCAAAGAGATGTAAATTATTTGATTCATTTATGAATCTTGAAGTCAAATGATCCAATAGTTAACATTCTTTTGATGCACATTAAATATTACGAACCTTGAGGCTATTTGATACTTTCTCCGGTGTGCTAATGCCAAGGATCGATATCACATGACAAAGTTATTATTGCTCAATAACATGGGAGGTATATCTATAATTAGTCGTAACAAATAAATTAATTCCCTAGCCTAATGTGAACAAACAAATTTGCACTTGTTTTGTGCTCAAATTAGTAGCTTGTAAATTTATAGGATTACCTTCCCGTTTTGTTCTGGAAGCGTCATCCATCTCATGTGATCGAAGGAAACATAATAAATTAATCACACTTTGGAATGGTGATGTGTACCTTTAAAGTATGGTTAGGCCCCACAAGCTCCACTAATGAAACTCTTTCTTCGAATGTGTCCTTTAAATAAGTTCCACTTCCTAGGAACCTGTAAGCTCTTATCTGGATTCAGGTTACTTACTATGATTTTATTATGCACTTTATATACACCTCGGTGAAAAGAATCATGCATGATTGCTTTGGCGGTGAAACAATATAGATAATTATGTTACTAGCTACCCTACGTTTAAAATATGCACTAGATTTAGGTTTAGGTTTGGTAAGGGGTTTGAAGAAAGAAGTTGAGGTGATGGGAGATGTAATAAGGTGGAGGGATGAATAACCGTGTAAGCTTTTATGTTCGGTTGGATGGGAGGAGAGGAGAGATGCATCATTTTGTAGAATTGGCAGCAGAAGTGGATTTCTAGCTCAGGATTCAGGTTGACAGTATGGCGGTTGACCGGTCCGGTCGACCGCTTTCGTGCACGTCACTTACTGTGCTTCAGGATTGGTGGCGATCGACCGGACCGGTCGACCGAAGATGGTAGCGGTCGACCGGGCCGGTCGACCGCCAATCTCTCTGGATTCTGGGAATGTTGCTGGAAGGAGGGCGGTCGACCGGGTCGGTCGACCGCGACGACCGACGCTGCGGGTTTCAGTTGGGTTCTGTTTTCAGACCCGTTTCGTTTGTGAGTTGTATTTAAACCCTAAACTCGATTCTAGGGTTAAGCTTGGGCGATTTTGAGCTGTTGAAAGGGGATTTTGAGGACTTCTATTGTTGGAGTCTATTGGAGAGATCAAGTGGTCTTGTTTGAGGGTTTTGGGTAAGATTTGTAACCCTAATTTGTATTCCCCTTTGATTTCATTAGTAAAGCTTCCCCCTCCTTGCCCCATGGACGTAGGCACATTGCCGAACCACGTATATCTTGTGTTCTTGCTGTGATTGGTAGCTTGTGTTCTCTTGTGGTCTACTATTGTTCTTGTGTGTGCTTTTGATTTGGCTAATTTGGGGTTTCCGCGGCGCACAACAAGTGGTATCAGAGCTCCGGGTTGGATTTGGGAGTTTTGTTCGAAGGATTCACACAACAAGTGGTATCAGAGCTCCGGGTTGGATTTGGGAGTTTTGTTCGAAGGATTCACTGTTGGGTTCTCGTTTGAAGAGTAGATCTACAATATGGGTGATACAAGCAGGGCTAGTTCAAGTGCTACTAGTACATCGGGGTCGGCTTTGACAAAGGCGATCCAAAATTTGAGCATCAATAACACTAAAATTGATGTCCCAAAGTTCGACGGCAAGATTAACTTCGGTTTATGGAGGTGTCAAGTAATGGACGCCTTAGATGCACAAAATTTAGAGGAGACTCTTGAGTTTCAAGAGAAACCCGAGGAGATTGATGATAGGGTTTGGAAGAAAATACACAGTCTAACGCCGGATCTCATTTATGATGTGATGAACGAGACGTCGGCAAAGAGATTGTGGGAAACGCTCAATAAAAAATATTTGACAAAGAGCATTGAGAATAGACTTCATTTGAAGAAAAGGTTCTACCAATTCAAGATGAAGAGAGGAGTTTCCATTCGAGAGCATGTTAATAACTTCACAAAGCTGATTTCGGATATGGCCAATGTTGATATCATGATGGAGGATGAAGACAAGGCGATGTTATTATTGTGTTCGTTGCCAGATGATGAATTTAGTACCTTTGTTCTCACTATAATAAATGGGCGAATTACAGTTAGCTACAAGGAGGTGACCTCGGCATTAGTGAATTATGAGCTGAGGAAGAATGATTATGAGCCCTCCGAGAAGACATCGGGTGATGCACTTGCAGTTCGTGGCCGTAGTCCAAACCGCCAAAAGTTCAACCGCTCAAAATCAAAGAATAGGGGTGGCCATAAAAGTGTTGGTAGAAATCAATGTGCCTTTTGCAAAGAAGAGGGACATTGGAAGAATGAGTGTCCAAAGTTGAAGGATAGAGCCGGGAAGCAAAGGGGGAAAGCTGTACAAGCTTCAGAGGTGAATGTTGCCAAGGTTGTTGGCGACACTTCAGATTCGGATTCTTCCGGTTATTCTTATCCCGCACTACCGTCTGTTTGTTATGCCGACTCTACAGAGTGGATGCTTGATTCGGGAGCTACATTTCACATTTGCTCTAAGAGGGATTGGTTCACCAACTTTGAGGAGTTGGAGAGAGGAGACGTGGTGCTCATGGGGAACGATCACGTTTGTCCTATTAGTGGGATTGGCTCAGTCAGAATCAAAATGCATGACGGGGTGACTAGGGAATTGAAAGAAGTGAGGTTCGTACCGCAGTTGACGAAGAACATCATTTTTCTTGGGACTTTGGAGGCATCCGGCTATAGAGTGATCTTAGAAGATGCTAGTTTGAAGGTCATGAAGGGTTCTATGGTGGTGGTGCGAGGTGTCAGAGAAAATAACCTATACTACTTGAAGGGCAAGACAGTTATAGGGGGTCTGGCGGCTTCTATCACCACAGAAGAGGACACTACCACACTATGGCACATGAGGCTTGGACACACAGGTGAAAAGTTCCTACAGTCATTGGCAAAACAGGGGCTATTGAAAGGTGCAAAGACCTGCAAGATGGGGCTGTGTGAGCATTGCATTCTTGGGAAGAAGACTAAAGTGAAGTTTGGCACCGCAATTCACAACACCCAAGGTATATTAAACTACATTCACACAGATGTTTGGGGCCCTTCCAAGCACACATCGCTTGGTGGGGCAAATTATTTTGTCACTTTTATTGATGATTATTCCAGGAGGAATTGGGTATACCATGAAGCATAAACATGATGTCCTGGATATATTTGTGGAGTGGAAGAAGAAAGTAGAGCTGCAGACAGGTAGAAAGGTGAATACTCTTCGTTCAGACAATGGTGGAGAGTACAAGAGTGATCCATTTCTGCAGTTTTGCTGGGATCACGGCATTAGAAGACACTTCACAGTTAGAGAGACACCACAACAGAATGGGTGGCAGAGAGGCTGAACCATACCTTGCTGGAGAAGGTACGATGTATGATGACGCAGAGTGGATTGGCTAGATCTTTTTGGGCCGAGGCAGAAGGTACGATGTATGATGACGCAGAGTGGATTGGCTAGATCTTTTTGGGCCGAGGCGTTAGTTTATGTGAGCCATCTCATTAACAGGTTGCCATGCACTGCGATAGAGGGGAAGACTCTTTTGGAGCGTTGGTCTGGTTCTGTGGCTAGTGATTATGAGACTCTTCGGATTTTTGGGTGTCCAGCTTATTTCCATGTTAGTGATGGGAAGTTGAATCCAAGAGCGAGGAAGGCTATCTTTGTGGGATTTAGAGAAGGTGTAAAAGGCTTCAAATTATGGGATCCACAAGACAAGAAGATGATCATTAGCGAGGAAGATCAGACAGGAGGGATATCACAGCAGGTGGAGGATGATGTGACTCCACCCACTCCAGTTGGCACTGTTCCCATAGAGACTCCTACAGAGGTGACACGGGAAGGAGTTGAGATGACAGTCGGGCATTTGGGGGATACAGTGGATGGTGAGGCTCAGGAGCAGGGTCATGCTCATGGGTCCATTGCAGCAGATAGAACGAGGAGAGAGATTCGTCGGCCAGCGAGATATGATGATGTCATGGTGGCATATGCTTTATCGGTGGAGGTCGTTGATGATCTTATTCCTGCCACATTCAGGGAGGCAGAGTCCAGCCCTGATTCCATTAGGTGGAGGAATGCTATGGAGGAGGAGATGCAATCTCTTCAGAAGAACGACACTTGGGAACTTGCACAGCTACCTAAGGGTAAGAAAGCTATTGGTTGCAAGTGGGTGTATGCTAAGAAGGAGGGATCTTCTATTGGGGACATTCGGTTCAAGGCCAGATTGGTTGCCAAGGGATATGCACATCTTGAGGGCGTTGATTACAACGAGGTGTTTTCACCCGTTGTGAAGCATTTGTCGATTCGGATACTATTGGCATTGGTGGCACAGCTGGACTTAGATTTGGTCCAAATGGACGTGAAGACGGCCTTTCTACATAGAGACTTAGATGAGGAGATCTATATGACACAACCTATGTGGTTTAAAGCTGCAGGAAGAGAAGACTTGGTGTGCAAATTGAAGAAATCTCTTTATGGACTGAAGCAATCACCGCGACAGTGGTAC